GACAGCCACGGGGCTGGTTTGAGTGGACCACACAGAGGTATGGCTGAAACAGTGTTTTCACCTCTTTGTGCCCTAATCCCTGAGTTGGGGCCCTGTGTGTTGCAGCGAGGAGTGTAGGTACCTCCCAAGACCCTGCTCCCCGCTGTTGCGGCCACTGCGCTGTGGCTGGGGGGGTCTCTGCGTCCAGCAGCGCAGCAGGCTGTGGGCCCCAGCCTTGCCCTGCACAGGAGGGCTCTTTGCTCCCCAGCTGTGGCCTTGAAGTGGTGGCACTGGCACAGAGCCCTCGGGAGCGGCTGAGCTTCGTTCCCTGCCCTCCTGCGCGTATGTGAAGAGGGGCTTGGTGCTTTGAGCTGGGCTGTTTGCAAGGAGCAGCATCCAGCCTGTCTACACGTGCCCCTCGCAGCCTCTGGCTTGGCATCTCACTGTCCCATCGTGATTTGGATAGGGAAACAGGATCGGTCTGACTGGGCATGTTTGGCCCGTGCCATCAGGCACCTTATCCCGCTGCCCACGAGCAGACAGTGCCCTCTGCGAGATTTGCACTGGGAAGCATTAGCTCCCAGGACTTGGTGGAGGGCTGGCTCCGCACACCTTCCTGTGCTCTCACAGCAAAGCCTGGACAATCAGCTTAGCGCTTCTCCCAGCTGCCAAGAGGTCAGGCCGGAGAGCTGGGGGAGCGCTGAGGGCTTATCTCCCGAGCGGTAGCGGGGGTGGCAACGCTGCCTTGTCCGAAGGCTGGTTTTCTCAGCGAGACTCAGCACCATCAGGAGCTGTCTCGAGGGAAGGGCTTGGGGCCAGGAGGTGGATACAGGTTTTGTTGTGGGGACACTGGCCGTGCGAGGGCTGGACTGTAGCCAGCTGAGCCTCAGCTGCTGCCCAGTGGGCCAAGAGTGATCTGTGGTCTGGAGCTCATCCTACCCTGGCAGGGGGCCCCTGGGCAGTGGCCGCCTGGGGATCTGAAATCCCTTGTCACTCATCCTCTCAGTTGTGTTTGGCACGGCTGGGTAGAACAGAGTCTGCTGGCTTTGCAGGTGCCTCCTCGCGCGGAGGAGATCACGATCCCGGCTGATGTCACCCCCGAGAAGGTCCCCACGCATATAGTGGACTACTCGGGTAGGGTCCTGTTGCTCCTTGCTCCCTGCCAGCCTCGCTTCTCCCCTTCTCTGCCCAACTGAGCAGAGTGGGAAGGGGTCCCTGCTGCCATGGGCAGTTGGTGACGGCTCTCTTCCCCTTCTAGAGTCGGAGCAGACGGAGGATGAGCTGCAGGAGGAGATCGCTAAGGTGAGCGGGGCTGGATGGGGGTGTTGTGGGATGGGAGCCTGTGGTGCCTGTAGCCCTGTGAGTGACATGTGGCTGCTCTCTCTCCCCATTAGCCACCCGGAGATGCGCAGGCAGTTGGTTATCTGTGGATTAATGGTATCTGTTTGTTTAGGGGTTTGTTTAATCCTTCTCTCTCTTGTAAGCTGTGGTACGTGGCTTGTACTGGCCCTCTGGGGCACCTCCAGAAGGAGAGCGGTGGGGGCAGCTCACTGGAGGTGGTGGAGTCTGCTGAGCAGATGTCAGGCTCTTAGCCTTGGGACGTTCCCGACTCAGAAGCGGGGGAGAAGCAGTTACTGAGCTTGGAGAAGACCCTCCCTGCTCCCTATATTAGTTGTCTGTGGCTGCCTGATGAGACAGTGGCACAGAGGGGTTGTTTTGGGAGCTGGAGGCACAGTGAGCGCTGGGCAGGGAGCGATGAGGGCTCCTCAGAGCAGCCGTGGAGGAATAATCCAGCTGGCTGGCTGGGTTGGGCCCAGCTGCTTTTCTCTGCCCTGGGATTAACCTTGGCTCTGCATGGAGGAGGACCTCTTGATTACAGATAATCAAACTGCCTCTCCCCTGCATATCTCATGTGAGCAAAGCTGTTTAATCTCTCCCCATCGGTGGGTCAGTGGGCACGGGAGTCCTGCTCCTTCCACCCAGACAGCAAGAGTATGCAGAGGCTTAAAATGGCTCCAGGAAATCCTGCCTAAACCCTTGTGTGTCCTCGGGATTAGTACTAAACTCTCTCCTGAAAGGACCAGTGATCCCTCCTGTCCGCTTCCAATAAAGCATTGGTGTCAGCGTTCTCTGCATGGGGTCGGGGGGGAGGGGGGCAGCAGGGCAGCAGCCACCACCCTGGCACAAGGCACGGGCAGAGCCGCTGCAGGGGCACAGTGAGGGGTGGGAGCACCAGGTGTGGAGGCAGATGTGCTCACAGCAGCTCCTGACGCAGAGGACCAGGTCTTTGCTCCGAGCAGCCCGTCGTGGAGCGGGCGAGTCGTTGCTGTCGGAGGGTGTGTGTACGTGTGCACGCTCAAGCGTGCTCAATCGATGCTGCGGGGGTTCAGTGCAAGTATGACAGCAACATGTGGGGTAGGGGCTGCCAGGCTGTGGGGCTGGCCTGGGCTGTGGCTCTGGCTCAGACGACCTCCCCGCTGCCATGAGGACCACAGGGACCCTCACGGCCCCCCCTGCCACTGCTTCTGTCTTTCAGGCCAACGTGGTGTGTGTAGTGTACGACGTCACCCAGGAGGCCACGATTGAGAAGGTAACACGTCCCCTGTGGAGCCCTGAACCCTGCTCTGGCAGCGGTGCCAGAGGGGAAGGGTTTCCCAGAGCTGGGTCCTTCCAGGCAGCCCTGGCTTTTGGGTGTGGGTATGTACCGATGGCCCCCAGCCCTGTCGGGGTTTGAGACCCCTGCAGGCAGAGGCAGGCTGGGCACAGCCCAAGCTTGCTCCTGCATTGGCTGTTGTCTTCACGTGCTGGAGGGCAACAGGCTTGTCGCATCCTTCTGCTGGCATCCAGCATCCCTGGGTCTGCTCTGCCTGCTGGTGCGGGGGAATGCCGGGGAGCAGATGGCTGCAGGGCCCTGCCGCGGGAACTGTGTCAAGAGCTGCTTCTCCCTCCCCAGGCTGCACTGACAGGCCTTTCCCTCTGCTCGCCTTTCAGATTCGCACAAAGTGGATCCCCATGGTGAACGGGGGAGTGGAAAAGGGCTCCAGGTACTGTGTGTGGCATGGTCCATGGGTGCAGAGTTGGGGGATTCCAGAGGCTGTGGGGTCCCACCACTTTCGCCTCTTGCTGAGGTTACTCAGGTGGAACCAGCTTTGCAGTTTGAGGCCAGACCACGTGTAGCAGAAGGACGTTTTCTCGCTTGTAGCCCCAGCAGAGAGCCATGGGCGAGGGTTCCTTCCCCCCGATCTCAGCCAGGCAGGCAGGGGAGAACGGGAGCACAGAAGCTGCAATCTGTGTGTGGATTGCTTAGGCAGAAGGCTGCTGTGCTGGATTAAAGGCTCCTGAACATATTGTTGCTGGGTGAAAGCGTAAGCGGGATCAGGCAGTCTGTTTCTCCAGATGGATGCTCCCAGCCGTGGGAGGCAGGAAAGCTGCTCTGGACCTTGCAGAGGAGGGTGGGGAAGCTCCCCAGCCTGGTGCCTGGGAGCACGTGTGGCTGGGGCAGCGCTGGGACCTGGAGAGGGGTGGCCTCAGTCGTGCTCTCTGACACTCCATCTTTCTTCCCCAGGATCCCCATTATTTTGGTGGGAAACAAGTCTGACCTGCAAGTGGGGAGCTCTATGGATGTCATCCTGCCTATCATGAACCAGTTCTCGGAGATCGAGACATGCGTGGAGGTGAGGGAACTGGAGGGTTTCTGTAAAGCCACCTTGAGGGGTGGGAGTGCTTGTCTGACATCAGTCAGGGAGCCTTTGTGCCCTGCCAGTGCTGCTCCGCACAGGTACCCCTGTCTGGGTTGGAGGCTTTCTGTGCTCTGCCTTCCTCACAGGGAGTGGCTTTTGGTGTCTGCCTTCTCCAGCTGTAACTGGTGTCAGAGCTACCTGCAGCCCTTGTTGGCTCTGGGGCTGTGGAATGGGCGCAGCAAAGTCAGGGCATGAGCAGGATGTTTCCCTTTTGGTTTTTTCCTAATGGTGGACAGACATTGCTCTGTCCTTTAATGCACAACTTACCTGGCTCAGGGAGCTCATGTCATGCTCCTTCTGCACCTTGCCACCAGCCTGTGTCTGCTCACAGGGCTGTCTCTTCCTCTGAATCCCCAGTGCTCTGCCAAGAACCTCAAGAACATCTCTGAGCTCTTCTACTATGCCCAGAAAGCTGTGCTGCACCCCACCGCCCCGCTCTATGACCCAGAGGAGAAGCAGGTAGGAAGCACGGCTCACGGCCCGTGGAGGGGTCTCCTCCCTGTCACAGCGCCTGGTCTGTGCTGTGCTTGTGCCCCTGGGTAGGAGGGTGAAAAGTACGGGCCGTGGCAGCCAGAACAAGAGGAAGGTGGTACCCTGTGGGGGAGTAGGCAGAGGGGAAGATACCCATCATGCTTGGTGCGGTCAGCTGCGTCTATCCAGGCCAGAGAGATCTGCAAGGACCAGACCATGTGTTAGCTATGGCGGGAAGGGTCCAGGAGAAACCTTCCCCGTAGACAGTCCTGCTTCTGACTCCCAGCTCCAAGGTGACTGTGGTACTAGCGGCTGGACTGTGCTTCCAGCCAGTGCAGGAAGGGGACCCCTCTGCATGTGGGGTTTCAGGAAGGGCCAGGCTGAAGGTTGGGCCCTGGTTTTGTCCCCTGCAGCTGAAACCTGCGTGTGCACGAGCGCTGACCCGGATTTTCAACCTCTCAGACCAGGATAACAACCAGATCCTTAGTGATGACGAACTCAACTACTTCCAGGTAAGGCTGGCTGCAGAGCTGAGATATTCCCCGGTCCCTTGTGGAATGCCCCTGGGATCCACTTTCACTGGGATCCAGTGTCCTGTTAGCATTCTTCTGCATGTCTAAAGCACCACAGAGTGCATCTCTGAGCGTATGGGGATCCACAGATCTTCCATTTTCACTAAGCTTGCTCTGCTGTGGGAAGAGCAGAAAGCTGTGGAGATGTAGAGAGTCACACTTTACTGGGATGCTGAGGAATAGAGGTTTGGTCGGGGTCTGAGGCAGTAATACTTGAGCTGGATGGATTTTTCTCTCCTATAAACACTGTCTCCTTGCCGGAGGAGAGGGACACTGGCGAGGCAGAGGGCTGTGCAGTCTGTGTGCTTTGCTGACTCTGACCTTCTTTCTCTTGGGAGGTAGAAGTCCTGCTTTGGAAACCCACTGGCTCCCCAGGCCCTGGAGGACGTGAAGATGGTTGTGTGGAAGAACACGACAGATGGGGTGCAGGACAACGGCCTGACGTTGAACGGTAACGGCTCCGTGCCCCTTCCCAGCAAGGGATGGAGGGACCCTTTTCCTTCAGCACATCCTCGGGCTGAGCCTCCCAGCTCTTGTTCCAAGCCTAACTAGGCCCTCTTGTCAAAGCAAGCCTGAGCCTGCAGTGCCTGCTGTCCAAGCAGCCTGTTTTCCCACAGAAAGCAGATCCCTGAGGCTGAGTGCTTGGTTAGCCCCACTGTGTCTGATCTGCCTGATCTGTCCTGCAGGCTTCCTCTTCCTCAACACGCTTTTCATCCAGAGGGGCCGGCACGAGACCACCTGGACCATCCTTCGCCGTTTCGGGTATGATGACGAGCTGGAGCTGACGGATGACTACCTGTACCCACAGTGCGTATCCTGCGTGGAGCAGGGTGGGCAGGGTGTGATGTTCCTTTCTGCATGCTGGGGTCTGCTGCATTCCTCGCCTGAGGCTGAGTCCGCACGCTTGGGTTCGTCGCTCCTCACCTTTCCCTGCGGGCAGGAGCCGACGCTGGGGTTGGCGACGAACGCAACGGGCTTTGGATCTGCTGGCTGTGCTGCTGCCTCTGATGGAGGCAGGCAGGGAGGTGGGGATTGACGGCCTGTCCCTGACTTCCCTTGACATCAGCAAGGGGTTTCTTGAATGCTGTTCTGTCTCTGCCTGAGCTGAGGCAGAATGACTCTGTCAGGAGCAGCGAGCTGTCAACATAACCCTCCCGGCTGATTCTGCAGCTGCCGTCTCTTCTCTGCTCCCTGCCACCCCCGAGGTGGTGATCTGGCAGTAATGAAAGGGTTTGGCTTGTGAGCTGCCTCATCCTCACCCCAGACGGCAGACTGCATGGAGAGGCGACGACCTGCGCTGGTGGAAAGCCCCCCGGGGTGGTGCTGCGCCTTACTGAAGCCTGGGGCGGGAGGCAGACTGAGGGCCATGTCCTCTCCCTGGGCACACAGGCAGCACGGATGTGCCAAGGAGAGGCCACCAGGCACCCTTGTGGCCTTCTTCCCAAAGGGAGAACCCCCAAAGGGACAACGACTGGCCTTGAGCAGGGAGGGAGAGCTGAGCTGTGTGCTCTGAGTGACATCTGGCTTGGCCAAGGACCTGCTCGCACGCTGCCCTTTGTCCAGGGCATGTCGGAGCTGCTCGCTTTTATCTCTTCCGACAGGTTCCGCTTGCCCCCCGGCTGCTCCACGGAGCTCAACCACTTGGGCTACCAGTTCCTGCAGCGGCTGTTTGAGAAACACGACAAGGTGGGCAGCGTGCGGTGGAGCTGCCTGGGGAGGGGAACCCTCTGCCAGGTCTCCCGGGAGCAGACGTAGCACCAGGGAAGGGCTTTCCTCTGCCACTGCGCTCCCTTCACGGCTTCGTGCTGAGGCTTTGGGAGCAGGAGGTGGCCACAGGCAGCTGTAGGTAGTCGGATGGCATGTCAGTGACATGGGGTTGTGGTCACTGCCTTTGAATAGAGGGCAGCCAGTGAAGATGGGGCCTTCAGGGGGTGGGTCAGAATTAATGCCCAACTGGCGTAGCCCCTTGCAGTGCAGCACACAGGGGCGGGGGAGGCGGGCGCAGCTGCTGGCATGCAGCCGTGGACCACACATCCGCACCGCTGCCAGCCCTGTGGAGGAGGTGCCAGGCCAGAGAGAGGGAAAGCAACTGATGTGTGCCATGCTCTGGCTCTTTGGAGAGAGAGCAGGGGATGTATCGCACCTGCAGGCTCACTCTAGTTATTTGGCTATGGCATCTGGGCGGGGGTTCGGCAGCTCTGCAGCCGCAGGGAATTGCATGACGGAGTCGATGCATGTCCCTGTGTGCCCAGATACTGGCAGATCCTCTGTGACACAGCCCTGTAGCACACCAGCCTTGACGGCTAGCTGGTGGCCAGTGGCCTGGTGGCCATACAGAGACCTTAGGTTAGCTCCACCGCAGTGAGGAAGGCCGGGCTGGAGCGACACAGGCTGCTGCGGGGTGGCTGCCCCCGGGAGGCTCAGGGTGCTGCGTGGTAGCAGGGCTGGCACTGGTCCAGCTGCAGTTGCAAAGCAGAGGCAGCTTGTCTCTTGCACAGGGATGGGAGTCCCTGGGGCACGGGCTCCCCACGCTCATGCAGCTCTGGCCGTGCTGGCAGTTGATTTTTGCCATTGGAAGCATCCCTGTGTCATTCTGCAGCAGCGAACAGGATGGCCTGTGTGCCCGGGACCTTCTCTGGACCCCAGCGATGCTTGGCATGGCTGCAGAG